CTATTAGTTCAGCTGTCACAACAAATTTGTGCATGGATCAACTTACAACAGAATCAAGAGAGAGAATGAGCACCACAGGATTAGGCCCAGAGCAGTGTATGATTTGATAAAATGTAGGGTTCAGAAAACAGACATATCTTTAAACAACTTCAGATGTGGAAACAATGCATCTGTCCACAATATTTATTATATAATAATACAGATTAGGCATAGAATATCTCCTGTTTGTGGACAAAAGATCTGCTTTTCAAGTTAGAGTGCTAGAAGAAATCATGTAGTACCTTCCTCTGCCTCAAGGAGGTATGTGGAGATTCACAAAACCATGTGGATGGAGCACGTGGAAATCCTTGGGTAAGAGATAATGTGTAGATACCAAGCTGTACTTAATGAGCGAAGTAACTGTTATTTGAATTTCCCTGTAGACAGTAAACTCCAGGATAGTAGAGACCAGATCTTTCTGGTTAACTGCTGTAATGCTGTGCTCAGCCCAGAGCTGTCATATAGTAGATAACTTGATGAATAAATGAAATCAAAGCCAACAAACAGAATGAAACATATTTATATAAACACTATCAGTGGCCTTTATTAATGCCAGTCAAGTCCAAGCAAATCATGACTGACATGATGAATACTATTCCATTATCCATCAACAATTATGTTTTTTTCTTTTTTTTTTTTTAAAGATTTTATTTATTCATGTTTTTCCCCCCAAAGCCCCAGTAGATAGTTGTATGTCGTAGGTTCACATCCTTCTAGTTGCTGTACGTGGGACTCGGCCTCGCGTTGGACGGAGAAGTGGTGCCTTGGGGCGTGCCCGGGATCCGAACCTGGGCCGCCAGCATCAGAGCGCACGCACTTAACCGCTAAGCCACGGAGCCGGCCCAACAATTATGTTTTAATACTTATCATGGTAACAACAGAATTTTATAGGTCAACATCAACAGCTTGATAGTGTTCAGGGGCTGTTTATCCAAGTCCTTTAATGTTGCAGTTCATTCTTTCTGTTGCTGAGTTAGCTATAATTTATTGACAGAGTTAGCTATAATTTATTGACAGGGCCACTGCTGACTCACAAAGAACCTGTGTGAAATTAGAAAAGGGAGCTGTCCCCATCCCTAACACATGCAGTCTGGCAGGTGCACACAGGCTGGACTTCAGCTCTCAGTTGCCCCTTCAGCAGGATGCCCCATGCAGTGAGAAACGTGAGTAGCCATAGCCCGTGTCTCTGTTTACTGAGTACCTTCTCATGTCACACACCATGTTGGGTAATTACACATGTCATCACCTCAGTCAATTCTCCTAATAAGCCTGAAAGGCAAACATAATAACCCCATTTTACAGATAAGGAAACTGAGGTCCAGAGAGGTTAGAAACTTGTCTAGATTGCACAGTTAAGAAAATGTTGGAATCAGAATTCACATCTAATATCAGAACGGTCTAGAATGCCCTCTCCAGCTGAAGAGGAGGGAGGTCATATGAATCCAAAAAATTGTACTTCCCTCAGCAGCTCGGGGATAAGAGCGTTCTGAAGGATATGAAGTCTGGTGCCTGAAAGGAAGTTTTAGTGGTAATTGTAGACTTTATTGTTGTGTTCTCTGAGAGGTGGTTTGAAACAACCATTTGTTTTCCAACCTTTTCATTTATTTACTCTGATCTTTCTTCTTTCTGAATAGGCTCAGAGAAAGGTAGCAGTATTAGAAGGAATGAAATTACTTTACTTTTCTGTTTCTCCATCACAGTCTCTTCCTTGTTAGGGCCGTCAAGATTCTATTAAATCGAAGTTTAATACTACTGATGGCTAACACTGATTGTCACTTAGTGGGTGCTAGTCACTGTGCTAGTGCTTTCCAGGTATTAACTCATGTAATCCCCTGCTCTCCTCTTCCCACTCTGCAGATGATGACACAGGCATGAAGAGGCTTAGTAAGGCTAGTAAGTGGAGGAACCAGGATTCAAACCCTCCTCATTATAGGTGTCATTTTCAAGGTTGTAAGATCTCTGTCCTCTCTTTTAAAGCAGATTGCTCTCCTCTATCACATAGGAAAAAGAGCTTTTGAGCAATTAATTAGGAGCTATTACCTCCAAAATACATTTATTTCAAAATTCAGTCAGAGTGCAGTGAATCAGTATAAATTACAAAATGAATATGTCACTACACTTCTAGCATTTTCTCTATTTTTTTTTTTTGTGATCATTTTAAAGGTATTTTATCTCCTTTGGGCTACCTTAGAAAAATATTAGAGACAGTGACATTCTTTTGTATATTTCCCAGCTTGGCTGACTATTTTCAGGTTGTGTTATAAAAATATTATATGTTGAGGACATCCGCCTACTTCAAGTATACCAGTGAGATTAGCAAAAGTACATGAGAATGGAAATTGATACTGTCATCATGGGCATAAATGTTCTAGTTATGGCAAAAATTGATAGATCCGTTGGACACTTATGCCACCACTTGTGGATAAATAAATTTTCACAAAGCTTTTGGTTTTGAGGAAAAAACTTGACTTAGACTGATAGCATAATATATTTTTCAAAGTATAAAATTGAGTGGCTATGATTTGGGTGTGTCAACACTTTTTTTTTTTCCCACAGCTTTCTGCTCTAGAAGAATGATGCCTTTAGAATGCACTCTCAGCTGGCACTGCTGGATGAAAATCATTCATCTCATTTAACTGACAGTACTAATTACTGTAATAACTATTTTACCAGAAAATATAATTTGGCAGACATCTGTGATTAGTGTATTAACACATTTCCTTGTTAATTCCCTAAGGCAACCTCACACAAAGAACATCCTTTGTGTGATATCTAAATGAATTGTCTTGTCATAATGAATTTCTTTATAGACCTGAGAAATCACTTTTGTTAAGTTGCCTTATGTGCTGTTAATTTGAAGCCTTCATTCATGATGAGGCCAGCAGGGGAGGTGAAGGATAGCCCTCCTCCCAGTCCCGTCAGGCGGCCCCTGGGGCCCACAGCCTGTGCCCTGCATCTCACAAAATCCTTCCTAAACTCTGCTTCTCCAGCCTCAGGCTCCATTTCCTCTCCACAGGGGGATTCAAACACAGTCCCAGAGGCAGGGTGGGAAGCTATTTGATATGAATAAATGTATTAAAAAGAGAAACAGTTGGCAGTGAGTTGAATTAAAGATAATACATAAACTAAGGAAGTGAATAACCATGACAATTATTAACTCAGGGAAAAACAAAAAAAGTGTTTACACAAAGTAATAGCTTACTATATGGCTCAGTTCTTCCTAGCAGACGTATTCATTATATGTGCGTATAACTGAGTATTGATATAGCCCAAATGACAACATGATTACTATTTTAGATCATTAATATACAACTACTGAATGGAAAGGAAATGTGATTATGTAATGGGAGAGGGTAGGGAAAAAAAGAGCTAATTCTTGATTTTCCATAGTGGGAGTTAACTGAAATGCCCAAACTGAAAAATCATGAAGTAGCAATTCACTTAGAGATATAGAAAAAAATATCCCTCCAAAAAAGCTAAAAGAATGAAAATATTTGTCCCTAGAGAAGAGGAAATGGGACAGGAGACCTGAGTATTAGTTATATATCTTAACTTACATTGGATAAGCAGATAACTCTTTAAACTATATGTGTATACAACGGAGGGGGAGGGGTAATTTAGGGACAAAAGATCAAGAGAAAAAATCTTTGGGAAAAAAACACAAAAGGAAATATATCACCTAGAGGCCCATTTTAATATGTTGGTTTATTTTCTTCTAGTATTTCCCCCCTCTACTTGTGATTTATTTTTCCTCTTTTCCTATCTCTCTTCATCCCTTCCTTCCTTCCTTTCCACATTGCTGTAATCATACTGTATATAAAATTATAGCTAACTTATTAAGCACTTAATTGCACAGCAGGCCTTGTGCCAAAAAACACATTATATGCATTATTTCATTTGATTAATCCAACTGTGAGTGCTGATTTTTGAACTTATTATATCATAATTCTTTTCTTAGTTTAGCATATGGTCTTCATTATCATCTTGTTTCACTCCATCCGGTGGAATATTTATCTTTCCCTCATATTATTAGACTTTTAAGCTGTTTGCCAGCTTTTGCTATTATAAAGAATACTGGGATGATATAATTTTCCCCAAAGCATTTTCCTGATGTTTATGCTTTTAAGATAAATTTCTAGAAGTAGGATCACTGGCTCAAAGAGTAGAATCCTGTTGCCAAGTTGCTTATCTTAAACTATCCAGAGCACTTTTGCATTCATTGTTTAATGTGATATGAGGCTTCATGCAACTCTGAGAGAGGTTAGGTGGGAGAGAGAGATTCACTGCCATTTTACAGAGGAGATCACTGGGAGCTAAGTTCCCAAGGTCACACAGTTGGAGGAAGAGCTAGAATTAGAATGTATGTTTCCCAAAGCTCTCTTGATGTCTCTTCCCGCTGTGCCCCCTACATGTAATGAAACTCAGGCTGAACTGTCCCTGCCACTTTCCTTCCCAGACATCGTAGTCTTTACCCAGTGGGGCTTCTCTGTCATGGGCCTTTTCCTTTCACTGAGGGCCACTCTGCTTTCGAAGGAAAAAAAGACCTCTCAAGCAGTCCGAGGACCACACACGGTGACATCTTCTACTAGTCTAAGGAGGACAAAGAGTGGGACAGAGAAAAGAACATGAGAAACAAACGTGCTAAATTAGAATATGGGCAGGGGCCCTGAGAAGGTGCACAAGGAGCAAAGGGGAAAAAACTGTGGTTTTGGAGGACGTTCATCTCATGTTTAAGATGAGGTGTGTGAGCTGAAGACAGTAAGAGATTTGACTTATGGAGTGTGGGGTCGTGGTATGGCCTTTCTGTACTCAGTTGTACCCAGGACTGTCTTGAACTGTTAAATCTACTTGTTGATAGCAATACACTTTCTCAAGATAGAAACTAAACAATAATTTGTATTTTTTTCTTTTTCAAATGAATGAGCAAAAACTAACTTCAAATATGTATTTTTCAACTACAGAAGAAAGTGAGTCCTGCTTTGTGCAGCCAAAACCATGCACACTGGGAAGAGAGTCTACTTTTTATGGCAAGGTACAAGAGGAATGCCTTCCTCCATTAGAAAAGCTCAAGATTTCAGCGGTGTCTACAGCTAATGGTGTTAAATCCCTCCCTGAAGAGGCCCTGGCAAAGGATGCTGTAGACCAACCAGGATCCACGGAAAAGACGCAGCCTCTAGAGGGATCCAAGGAGTCTGGGCCACCTCAGCCAGGTCGCAAAGATGATACTTCAGGAGCAGGAGAAAAGAAGAAAAACATGGAAGCAGTGACAGAGGTTCAACCTTTAAAAGGAAATGCTGAGACTGAACCTTTAGGAACAGAAGCCAGTTGTCAGCTTTTGAGGACAGCAGGAGAGAGGGACTCTCCTGGAGCAATGCGAGGTACTGAGATTCCGCAGACTGCCGGAGAGATGACACCTCTAGGAACAGCTGAGAAAACGCCACCTCTGGAAGCACTGAGAGAGCCACAACCTCAAGAAGCAATGAGAAAGGATGAACAGTCTCAACTCCCAGAAACAGTTCCCAAGGAGACTGAATCTCCAGAAATATTGGACAGAAGTCAGCTTGTGGAAACAGCTGAAGAGCAGCAACTTCAAGAAACATTGGGAAAAGATGAGCAGTCCCAACTTCTAGAAGCAATTCCCACAGAGAATGAATGTCCAGAAGTATTGGACAGAAGTCAGCTTGTCGAAACAGTTGTAAATAATGATTCACTCCATAAAACTTGTGAAGGTTCAGGAAACACGGAGCAGATTCAACCTGAAGAAATTGTTGGAAACGTGGAGCATTCAGCAGGAATTCTAGAAACAGGGACAAATGTGGAAATGGTCAGGAAAATTCACACTAATGAAGAAGACCAACACATTGAAGGTAAAAGTTGTGCTGTCAAAGATTCAGGATGTTTAGATGTGCTCCGTAAGAGATCATCTCTGGGGGTAGGGGGTAGGTGGCTGACACACAGTCATTGAAGTCTCTGTTGCAGGTGATTGAAGTTCATTTGACCCAAACCAAAAAGCCTTCCATACCTAGGAAATAGGCATTTGGCTTTCCAGCAAAAATTTTCTAAAGCATAGTCTGTATCCAAATTTTTAACCTAGAGTTTCACTGTTGAATAGAATATTGAAGGCAACATGTTAAAATTTCTGAATTTTTTTTCAAGTTCACTCCTCATTAGGCCCCATGTATGATATGAGGATCCAAAGTAAAGATGGTTAGTAGAGGAATTGACCTTCTAATGAAAAAATATACCAATAACAGACCTTGGAGTGTAATTTTCATCTTTGCCAATCTTGTCCTTAGAAAATTACTGTCCGTCTGCTCCTATCCTCCTATGGTCTTTTTATCTTTTTGACAAGACCAGAGAACATGTACTATATCTTGGCATATGATTTTTTAAAATATACTTTACCAGCGTAAGACAAATGGTATCCATACTGTTCTTTATTGGAGTTATAATAAAAAAATAACATTTCTTCTGGGGCATGATTTACATTTTGGTAAATTTTAGCTTCACACTATAGTATAATTTAGTGAAGTGTTCATCCATGTGTTTCTTAATTCTTTCATTTATCAACACTGCAGTTTTTGAGTGCCTAATCGTATGCTAGGTGCTGGGGTGCAGAAGGAGTGAGTAAGAGATAGTCTTTGTTCTCAAGGGGCTCATAGTCTGATGGGAGAAGACAGAATGTCAATAAATTACTGCCCTCTATTGAGGTAAGTGCTTTAGCAAAGGTGTGTGAAAGTGCTCCGGGAATAACAAGGGGGAAGCAAGTGACAGCATGTGTTTGTTAGACCAGGGCTGGCGAGCTCGGAAGTCTTTAGGGCCTAGGATACTGAGGATGAGTGAAGCGAGGGGCACCTGTAATGTCGTGGGAGCCCTGGGGCCTCGGTGAACAGGAGGACACTCCTGTCGAAAGAGGCAGCTGCTCTTGGCTCCACCCACGAGAGTGGGGTCAGTGTTGCCAAAACGGACTTCCTAGGAAACAAATTTGTATGTGCAACGTCCAGACTTTTAAATGTTTTCAATCTTTAAATGTTTAGTGATTGTTTTCTTTAAACACAATGGCCAACCAAGACAGAGCACCCCTGTTCTGGGCACTCCTAGACCAGCTTTTGATTTATTTATTTATTTATTTATTTATTTATTTTATAATTTTATATATTTTCCCCCAAAGCCCCAGAAGACAGTTGTACGTCATAGCTGCACATCCTTCTAGTTGCTGTATGTGGGACGCGGCCTCAGCATGGCGGGAGAAGCGGTGCGTCGGTGCACGCCCGGGATCCGAACCTGGGCTGCCAGTAGTGGAGCACGCGCACTCAACCGCTAAGCCAGGGGGCCGGCCCCTGGCTTTTGATTTAGATATAAATGGGACTTTCTATTTGTAACATGTACTCCTGTCATTTCTTGGCTAATTCTGCATCTTGACTTTATATGAGAATGCCAAGACTCGGAGATGTTCATTGACATCTGCCATTCAGGGGATCTGAGAGAACCAAGGCCATCACCTTTCTTGACACCACCTGAAAAACTTACTGTTTAGACCTTAAGATTAAGAGCTGCCCCCAGTGGAAACCAGCTGTGGGGTACTTTATTTTTAATGCTAAATGGGCATCTCTTAATATCTCCTTTGGTTACTTCTCCAGGTGAGACAGGAGAAAAGGTTGAAACAGAGATGGAGAATGAGAAAGTAGGTGAGGGGGCTGAAACAAAAGAAGAAGAAACAGGAGAAGCTGTGGATCTCTCAGCAACCACATAGATAGGTATGGTGATGGAAGGGTGGACGGACGCAGTTGTTATAATAGAGAAGACAGAAAAATGGTCGTGAAGCTGTGTTTACAGATCTCATCTCTCAACATCTATGTGTGTGATACAAGGAGTGTGGTTATCATGTTCTTGATTACATTGTTCCATAAAACTGCTAAGCTGTAAGCAGTTTTCTTAGCTACTTAGAATAGTTACACGTTTACAACTATAATAGCCAGAGCCAATAACAACTGGGGTATATGATCATTTAAGAGGGTGAGGGCGTTCTCTTCATTGTGGCAGTGGGGTCATTCAGAATAGAAAACGAGACCTTTAAAAAGAAAGTATAAACCATTAGATATAGGTGGCTGGAGAAGGCAGTTAGGAAATTTTGGGGAGCTCATGATAATAAAGTCACACAGTTATAATTACCATGGAATAAGAATGAACAACAGCACTGGGGCAAATTATACCTAGTATTTCTTTCTGTCACAGAATTTAAAGCTGGTAGAACCTTGGAAAGCATGTCATCTAATTACCTTCTCACCTTAAGTCTATCTACTACCGTAGATCTTTATTTATCATGTAGGTTAAATATGTTAACAAAATCCTTTTCAAAGGAATGCAAACTCTGGTGCTGTTGCAACATTAGGCATTTTCACAATGAAAGGCTACACATTTTCCATGTGACATTTTGAGTCAGCTGTTGATTTTACACTTATGTGAGGTGTTTCCATTGGTGTTATCCTTTGGACTGACATTAAAGGTATTTGAAATTAATTGACTTCTAAATGTATTTCAGAGGCAACAAACAGCAAGAATTAAAACCTAGATTTGTTGCCTATGTAGAGTCTATTCTTGGGCCCTAGTCTTTTTTAGATTACTGTGATTTAACATGAGGCTTTAGAGGTGGAAAGGAGCTAAAAAAATCAAGATTAAAAAACCCTTTATAATATTTCATTCATGTTAAATGATGCATCACAGAAAGTTACTTTTCAAGAATTCTTCCAAAGTTGCCAAGGGATTTTGGTAAATGATTATATGTAAATAATAGTAATGATAGCAATTTTGCCTACCAATGAATGCTTTGTGTTTATGAATATCAGGATAGAATTATATTTTGGAAACATTTGGTTTCTTTATCTTATTTGTAAATATATATTTTGAAGATAACTGCTCAGATGAATTAACTAGACTCCTTTACTTTCGCTTCTATATTAAAATGGCCACTAAGATGACCTGTAATTAATGTCAAGTATATAAGATACAGGGAAGAATTATCATCTTTATTCTGATTTTAATATTAGTTGATGTTTCTGACTGTAATAAAGAGTTGAGGTAGACAAGAGGAGTTTACAGATGACATCATCCTTTCTGCAGAGTGAAGAAGCTGGATTGTGATTTTATTGAGAGCAAAGACTGTTTTATGTATCTTTGAATTCAGGCATTTAGCTCCTTTAATAGAACATGATAGGTGCTTGATAAATATTTGTTGAATCAATAAATGCATAATAAATACCAAATCTTCCCATTTACATTTAATTCATTAAAAAAGAATACATTTAAAATGTGAATTTGTGTAACACTAACATTTTCCTGCCCAGGCTGCTCAATCTCAGCAACAAGCTATATATTTTGTAGTTCCAAAAACAGCAGTATTTTTAGGTCAGAAAGTTACATAAGTCAGAACTGATGTAACTTATCGTTCAAGCTACATTTTGTAATACAAAGGTGTCTTTCCTGACCAAAAGGTATTTTTATACAGCTATCTAGAAAGTAGAAAATGTCAGGGCTTTCTGTAAAATATGAAGGATCACCTTAAAAACTATAATTGTGTTTTGTGTCAAGCAGGGAAACAGTAGGATTCATTTAATTAATAGGCATAAAGGTCCATTCTCCGTTGTGTGGACTGTCTTTTTAAAAAATCTCTAACATACGTTAAAGAGATCTATTCAGAATTCATTCTTGAAAGCACTGTTCCTCAAAAAGCATTATTATATAGTTGCAATGTAAAAATTTTCAAATTGTTTATAATCTCATTATTTTCCATTAATGACTAAAATAATTTATTCTCAGAAAATTTTGGAAATTTGTACTAATTTCTGGTACTTTCTATACTTTCAGAAAACACAACAGCTTGTTAGAGATTACAAGCATCTCGTTTTTATTAAGATAATTTGGTGACCCAATTCTGTATCTTTTCACAAACGCCAGCAGCGTGAACATCATAAAGCCATTCATGTAGCCCACACACGTCTGTAATACCCTCTACTCCTCTTCTTTCTCTCCCACACCAAATAGCGAGGCATGACTGTATCTGAAAAGTTGAAAGCATTTGCTTACAAAATGTCATTTAATCTAAAACTGTGTCAGCTTCTCTCCTCCCTAGAGCTTAGAAAGTTAACTGAGTGTTTGGTTATGATCTCGAGGTTTTAATTGCAGAAACAGAATCAGTGTAATTTCAGAGAGCAGCTGACAGGTGTGGAATTTCTCTTTTCAGTTTTTGTTACTATCAACAAAAGTTAGGGAACTCCTTACATTACTAATCTATATAGAGTCAAATTGGAGGCCTGTAACTTTACTTCAGTAATACCACTCAGCACACGTATTGGGCAATATTTGAGATATTGTAAGCTAACAACCGTATCATTATTCCTGTGCCTAATGAAAGAAGTCTCCAGACATCAAAGCCAGGCTTTAATAACTTCTGAAGGTGGAAGAAGGGCCAATCTATGTTATAGTAACCTAAATTACCCTTTCCATTTAATAATGTGCTGCTGACCTGCATAAACAAGCTACTGCCATCCACTACTGGGGACAGAAATCTGCGAGCCTCACCAGTTTCCGGAAAAAGACTTCTGAGAACCAGTTAGGGATACTAACTTTGTTTTGAAATTTGCCTCATTTTCTTTTCTTGTGAAATATAGATAGTTCTCAAATTTCTTCTTAATAAAAGTAACTGTAGCAAAACACCATTCAAGCTGTCATATGTCTATGGAAAAAGTAATGCATGTTACATTTAATTGATTTATGCGACCCTGATTCCAAACACATTCTAAAAAATTATTCAATGACAAGAGAAGAGGCTTCCCATGGCAGCTGTACTGTTGTAGAGGGGCTCTGGGCTGAGGAGGAAGTTTCAGCCCCAGCACCTCATTAGGATGTCATAAGGTCCTAAGAAGATTTTTCCAGTGCTCATCACACTCAGAGCAGTTCAGTGCAAGGACCAACTAATAGTTGATTTCAACTAGTGGTTACTTAGTGGATCAGTGTGGATTTGCTTCAAGTTTTCTAGATATCGGAGTTTTGTTAAAAAGTTTTTTTGGTAAAAATAACACTGCTTTTGTCTAAGTACTTGAATGTTACAGTGACTTTTTAGGTAATAATTACAAGGATTCCTTTATTATTAAAATAATAATTTTTTTAGTATAAAATGAATATATATTCATTGTAGAAACTTCAGAAAATATAAATTTTAAAAGATGAAATCTAAATATTACCCATAATTCATTCAGTCAAAAATCATGTTGATGTATAGGAGGGATTATTATTATTATTATTATTTTTTTTAGTGTTGCAATAATGTTAGCCAAAGCACAACTTTTTTTTTTTTTTTTTTGTGAGGAAGATCAGCCCTGAGCTAACATCCATGCCAATCCTCCTCTCTTTGCTGAGGAAGACTGGCCCTGAGCTAACATCCGTGCCGATCTTCTTCCACTTTATGTGGGACGCTGCCACAGCATGGCCTGACAAGCGGTGCGCACCGTCGGTGCGTGCCCAGGATCCGAACCCCAGCCGCCAGCAGCGGAGCTCGCACACTTAACCACTATGCCACAGGGCTGGCCCCCAAAGCATAGCTATTAATAGAACTTCAGTCTGTTGGACCACTGAGCACAGCACTTCTGGATTTTCCTCAGTGGAATCTATTGGAGATAACGGGTTATAGAGAATGTTCCAGTAATACTTGCTCTATTAGTAAATATTGATTAGTGCTATAGAGAGAACAACTATGCCTAAGTATATCAGCATTTAGCTGACCACAATTTATGACAGATAAATAAATTTTTGATGTCTTAGGAAAAAATACTGAAACTAAATATTTTGTTGGGAATTATTTTTAATACTTTCTAATTGCGGACCAAATGGTAGAGAAAAGATTGTAAGCTCTTTAGAGGGCAGGAAAAGTGCCCTACAGGGCTTAGTACAAATTTGGCATCCTGTAAATATTTGTTAATGACAAATGCTCTTTATTCTTATATAATCATGATAATTTCCTCAGAACTGAATATAATTGGCTGTAGGGGAAAATATGGCCAAAATTTTTATAAAATTATTTTGTACTGCTGGTTCAATATTCAATTTTGATTGAATAAATATATTATTAGCAATAATAAAATGTTTGAAAGCTTTTCTTGGTATATTTTTTATCTCAATTTTTATTATAAAAACATAAAATTACTTTTGACTCATTATGTCCTTCAGAAAAAAAATAGTTCTTTAAATTGCACACTCTGTCAAAGGGAAGGAATATGACAACAGCGGGAAAATATGGGTGACTTTTTAGGCATCTCATGATCATTTATTTAATGATAATACGCTTAAAAGAGATTGCTGTTTCTGTATGTTTGAAAGAGCAGCATGCAATAGACGTTCCTTTTCACATTTAACAAAATGTACTGATTCTCCTTTAGTGTGGAAAGATGACTCAAAATCCCAACCCAGCCACTACAAGTCAATTAACTTGGATTCCAGCGTCTTATTTCCAGCTTTTTCATTCTATGGTTTGAATTTGAAGTCATGACCTATCTGTTTAAGCCCCTTATTCCCAGCCTGACCGTGATATCTAATGTCCTGGTTACAGTGACCTGCTTAGGAATGGGCCCCTAACCTGAGCTGGACCAGTCAGAGGCTTCTCTGAGACTCTTCTGCCAGAGATATAAGAAAATTATGTCTTTCTGCTGGGGTTAGTACGTCTGGGCCTGCATCATCTTCCCTAAGAGACAGATGGAGCCATGAGGTTTCTGGAGCACGCATGCCTGAAACCAGCTGTTCGGACTCCCCTGTTATGTGAGCCTATGAATTCCTCTTTTTTCCATTTATGCTAGTTTGAGTTGGGTTCTGTAATTTACAAATGAAAGAGTCTTAATATTAAAAAAAAAAAAGAGGTGTCTTGTAAATGAGCTGGAGAAAATAATAAATATAAGAGCAGAAAATAATGATAAAGAAAAGAAAGATATAATAGAAAGGATCAACAAAACCAAAAAGTGGTTCTTTAAAAAGGTTAATAAAATGGATAAACTTCTGTGCAAGATTGATTTAAAAAAAGAAAATAGAGGCCCAAATAAGCCATATTAGATAAAAAGGGGACACTTGAATACAGATAGATACAAGAGATTAAAAAGATGACTACAAATGTGAAAATTTAGATGATATGCGCAAATTCTACATTAATGACCAAAACTGACCGAAGAAAAAACTGGATAATCTGAATGCTCCTGTTACCATGAAAGAAATTGAAACAGTAGTTTAAAATTTTTCCCTAAAGAAAACAGCAAGCCCAAACAGTTTTATAGGTAAACTATCAAAGATTCAAGGATATTTACAACCATAAACTCTTTCATAGAAGAAAAAAGTCAGTCTCACAGATGAACATAAATGTAAAGATCCTAAACAAAATATACCTGAATTTGTATAAAACATATACATTATAAATATATATGTATATAAATATAAACACACATATTGACCAAGTTGAATTTATTCTAGGAATGAGAGTTTGGCTCTACATTATAAAAAATTAATTAGTTGTATTTACCATATTAGCAAATTAAATGAGAAAAGTCATATGGTGATCTCATAGATACAGAAAAAATTCAATTAATTTCAACAACCATTTTGAACTCGTGTCACCTCAAGCTCAGGTTCTCACTGACCTTATTAAACTTGTAATCCCCCAACACTCTTCAACTACCCTTCCTTTACTTTTCCCTATAGCTCTTAACAATCTAACATAATTTGTGTTTTTTTGTTTTTAAAAATTGTAAAATATACATAATAAAATTTACCATTTTAAGTATCTTTAAATGTACAATTCAGTAGCATTAAATACATTCACAATGCTGTGCAATCATCACCACTATAATTTCCAAAACTTTCTTCACTCCCAATAGAGACTCTGTACCAATTAAGCAATAGCTCCCCATTGCCCGCTACCCCCAACCCTTGGGAACCTCTAATCTACTCTCTGTCACTATGAATTTGCTTAAGATATGGTTTACTTATTTGTTTTTATTGTCTGTTCACTAGACCTTAAGTTCTGAGGGCAAGAATTTTGGGCTGTTTATTGCTGTATTCACAGCACTCATGACAATATCTGGCTTATTAAATATTTGTGGAAGGAAAGATGGAAGGAAGGAAGCAAGGAAGGAAGAACTTTTAGCAAAGTAGGGCTAGAAGGAGACTTTCTTGATCTGATAAAAGGAATATGTAAAAAACATATAGCAAGCATCATAGTTAATGGTGAAATGTTAAAGAGAGTCCCTTAAAAAACAATGCAGGGGGGCCGGCCCCGTGGCTTAGCGGTTAAGTGCTCACACTCCGCTGCTGGCGGCCCGGGTTCGGATCCTGGGCCTGCACCGACGCACTGCTTCTCCAGCCATGCTGAGGCTGCGTCCCACATACAGCAACTAGAAGGATGTGCAACTATGACATACAACTATCTACTGGGGCTTTGGGGGAAAAAAAAGGAGGAGGATTGGCAATAGATGTTAGCTCAGAGCCGGTCTTGCTCAGCAAAAAGAGGAGGATTAGCATGGATGTTAGCTCAGGGCTGATCTTTCTCACAAAAAAAAAAAAAAAAAAAAAAAAGAAGAAGTAAGATTTGAGGAAAAAACAGTTGGAGTTTTAACTTCATGATCCACCCCCCACTTAAAAGATTTTATTTTATTTATTTATTTTCCCCCCAAAGCCCCAGTAGATAGTTGTATGTCATAGCTGCACATCCTTCTAGTTGCTGTATGTGGGACGCAGCCTCAGTATGGCGGGAGAAGCGGTGCGTCGGTGCACACCCAGGATCCGAACCCGGGCCGCCAGCAGCGGAGCGCACACTTAACCGCTAAGCCACAGGGCCGGCCCAACCCCCCACTTTAATTAGGTAACATATAAATTAAACTGTTAAAAATAAGTGAACAGAATCACACCAAGGCAAATCTGCACATCTTATTTTATTTCCATTAGAAAAATATTATCTATATAAAATTTTGGTCCATTTTCTTCTCCTTTACCTCTACCATTCAAATTTGAATACTTCAATTTTACCCAAGTAAAAGCAGAATCATTTATCTGACATGAGAACTGAATATTTCACATCATTAAATTAACAGGATTTAATTGAATTGTGTGTTCTTTATTATTTCTCAGGAATAGTAACTCAACTTTCCTACACGTTATTTCACTTTACTTTTATTTATGTGAGTTACTATGTTATACGTTTCTTTCCCCACTTCCAGTAATATCAGTGTGCATAAGTGTAATTTATAACATCAGTAAGTGGATTCATCATCTAATCTTTAATTCATGTTCAATTCCCCTTATTATATGGTATTTCCATAATAACTTCAGATATTTTAGTCAATCTTACACTTTCCAGCATCACTTGTAAAAATTAAGGTGTTAATTAAACATTATTAAAGTTCCAGACTAAATAACCTTGGGCCCACTTAGAGAGATGCTGTTGTGAGAGGTCCCAGGACGGCTACTGCTTCAATCTCCACACGGCCTCCCTATAAGGAAAATCATGAAGCAATGTGTAGATCACTTTTCACAAAGTAAGAGAGCTCCATTAATACCTACTAAAAACATATGCAACTAACAGTGATACAGCATTTTTAACATTAAACTTTTCAAAGAAGGAAAGGAGGGGGAAATACTCACTAAGAACCTATGCTAGGCCAGGTTACCATGATGAACATGTTTGTGTACATTAGTTTATGTGATTCTCACAGCTGCTCTATTAGACAAGTGTTCTCTCCTCAATTCACAGAACGATACACTGAAGCTTAGAAAGGTTAATTAACTTGTCCCACGAAACAAAGCTAAATGGCGGTGGTTCAACCCACGTCTTGTGATTCCAACTTCACAGCTCTTTCTGCTACACTCAGTATCTTAATAAGTTTGATGGTACTGATAATTCCAAGTAACAACCAATTAAAGCAATAGAAATACCACTCACAGAAGATAAATATTTTTTAGTAGAAAATTACAAGTGAAAGTCAGTGTGAGCTCCTTCTTTATAGGTAGGAATATTGTGCTGCTAAGGGGCACAGAAGAGCTTCAAGTTAGATTAGAATACCAAGGGAAGAATGGTGAGAAATATGTGAGCCACTGGTGTCGAGATCATGTTACTAATGTAAGGTCTAGATTTTTATTATACAATAGCCAAGTGAAATTTTCACTGCAGAACTCACAAATCTGGCTCAGTTTACAGTCCCTATGTAACATTACAACAATACAGCTGCTATTTTACTTTTT